TTTATTCTCACCTAACCCTGTGCAAAGTGTCTGCTACCATCCTTCCAGCTACTGAGAGAGTTGTGAGTGCCCCTCCTCATGTAAAAGGATTAGGCCCTCTGATGAAACTAAATGAATATCTGAGAGCAGTCTTACATCCTTAATTGTACTTTCTGTTTGGTTGTTGTGGTTTTTTTTTTAACTCCAAGTCTTGACCTGGAGGCATCATCAATATCAACACTGAAACCAGAGACAAACCACACAGATCAGACTCAAAACTAAAGGAAATTAGCTCAGCTAAGCAACTGCAGAACTGGCAGGGCATGTAGTACCTTCCCCAGTTGTGCCTCCCAGGGAGCTACCAGAAATTCCCTGGCTGCTTAGCCAGCAGAGGAGGCAATAAGAGCTGCAGCACCCACCTCACTGGCCCTGCCTTCCACCTCACCAGAGAGCTGTGCTGGGGGCAGATGGAACTATGACGAGCTGCAGTGAAGCAGAGGGTACACATAGTGCTGCACTGTGCAGGCTACACATCCTCTGACTGAGGAGACACAGTTTCTCTGTCCTGGAAGCAGTGGGAAGCTCTGGGCAGGAGGTGTCCAGCCTGTGGGAAACAAAATGGGTCCAGTGCTCCCTTCAGAGGAGAAGAGAGGAGAGAGCTGAGAAGCTTTCAGCCCTCATCCCCAAGACAGGAGTGGCAACAGCAGCATACAAGAGCTTTGCAAGGTTGTGTGCAAACGCTGCTTGCTTTGCAAACTGAGCTCTCTGAGTTGCTGAGAGATACAAGAGTGGAAGGCTCTTGCTGGGGAACATCATCTACCTTCCAAATTTTGAAAAGGCAGAAAGAAGTTTGCTTTGATCCTGAGAACAGCTGCTGAGACCTGTGAATATTTTTCCCTGTCTCTTCTATTATGCCTGCTAGTTTTGTCGTTCTGTCATATTATTCCATCCCTCCTTTCCTTTCCCCAGAGTTAAGAGTAGCATGCAATGGTTGGGGTAGACAAGGATCTGAAAAGCAAAAGGAAAGCCTTGCTCTTGCCTTTAAGACAAAAAATGCACTTGTTCTGTCTGTGTGTGTACTTACATGTTACGTACTTCCTACTGTTCCTACTTGGATTTCCCCCTTTCAAAATTTAGGGTTAAAGCCTACAAAAAAGAACGTTCCAAACTACAAAGTTAAATGCAAAGGTGGTATCGACACCACATAGCTCTGTGAACGTACATGCAAAACCTGATCCACCCATCTTCTTCCTCCTAGTGGCTCCAACCCAGAAAAGTACACATACAGGTCTTCATTCCACAGAACTCTGAAGCCCATGCCTTAAAAAGAAGAATGTGCTGGTGTATTTGTGTGCATTGAGGAGGAGGAACCTAAATGTTTAATTCCTGTGCCCCCACTGCAGGCTTAAATTTGTGTGGTGCTTTTACAAGGCAACCGGCTCCACTGACTTGTAGTGAAGTAATATGTAGCAAAAAGTAATAATGCAGATTTTGCCTTTCCGAGCTGGCCATTTCCTTGGTGGAAAGCATCCACAAGAAATTCAAGAGAGTACACTAAAAGCTATTTTTTTTTTCCTTTTTCTTCAGGATGTTTTTAATATACTAAACAGCAGTGTTAATGCTATAAAAACAAAGGCAACTCTTAGGGGAATAGGAGGCTGCTTTTCCCCATTGTTCACAGAGAACCCTGGTTGTTTGAATGGATGATATGATAATTTCGTGGCACAGTTGCTTAAGGGAGGACATAGCAAAGACTCCCATGGTAGCGTGTACACAGCTTGCAATGGGCATGGCTAGAATTTAATTGTTACAGCCCTCAAAAAGACACTTCTCTAAAGCAAACATGCTATGAAATATATTTTTATCTAATTAAATCAGAAAAACTTTAACTTGCCAGCTCCTCCTTCAAGCATCCAAGTAACTGCTCCCTGTAACAGCTCAGAAAGTGTGCTTTATAAACTAAAAAAAAAAAAAAAAAAAAAGCCACCACAAAAACAAAACCAAAAAAACCACAAAAACAAAACCCAACAAAACAACACAAAAACAAAATAGGCCATAGAGATTTAATTTTCTATAAAATAGCTCCCTACAAGCTGTTTAAATGTCCTTTACTTTAAGCAGTACTCCAAAGATTTGAGAGATTTCCAGGGCAATGATTGCAGTAAGAACTCCTTGTGCTCCCTCTGCTCAGGGGGCTCCACAAACAAACCATAAGATTTATGCCTTTCCCTTTCAAAATAACCTCATATAATCGTCTGCAAAAATTAATTTAAACAAGCATACAGAAGTAAAGAACAGGCTAGCTCAGGGTGTTGGTTTTTTCATGTGTTTTTTATTTTTTTTGCAGGGGGAAGACAGGTGGGCTGAGAGTGCAATCCCTAATGTCTACTATAAATCTGCTCTCTCTCAGCCTCAGCTCACAAACTAACACCACCCCTGTCTCATACGTACTTTTTTCCCCATCTTTCCCTCTCTGCCTTGCCACAGCCATACTGTAATGTGTCTGAGTTGGCTGTACAGTGTTTCTGATTAAAAACTGCCAGTAGTTAGACAACTTATTATACAATCTACAAGGAGACTGTGTATTTATGAATGCAATAATTAATCAATGCATAATAAGCACGCACTGCGCACATTGTTTCTCTTTCCATACACAGACAGCTTCAGTTACCATGCAGGTTTACATTGCCACAACAATCTTCAGTTGCCATACCTGCTTCCCCACCCCACAGTGTTGGCAAAGACAAGCTCATTGTATTAAAGCCTGCATTAATCTGCAAACTCAACCAAATACTGCCAAATTAATAATTTTTGCAGGTAGAGGCTTTCAGAAGAAAATGTGGCATAGTTAGCGCCATAACTACTAGGCTGTCAGAATTTTCCTTTTAAACTACTTTTTTCAGAGGCTCAGCTATGAAGTGTACTCGGAGATGTGAGCTGACAGACTGACTTTGCATCTTAAGAACATATTTCATTTTAATGGTTTTATTTTTAAATTGTTTCAACTCTTTGAGTTAATGGAGATTAAAAAAAGAAATGAGACTGACATAAAAATGCAAAGTAGAGTATTTTTCCCCTTTTTAGCTTGTTTTTTAACTAGAACCAGGTTATATTTATTTTCAAGAAACTCAATAGTACCCAATAACAGGACTACACACTTATTCATAAAAATCATCAAATGGCTTAAATGTAAAGAGCCATTACCCTTTCCTGAGCCTCCCTGCTGATAAATGGCAGCAGGCAAGGCCCCACAGATATCAATATTCAGTCCACTAAGGATTTGCTTGAGAAGTTTACCCCTCAGTGGCCAGCTTCTATGGCACCACTTTCTGCCCACATGGAAACACAGAGATGCTTTGGCCCAGAGATGTGCTACCCTGTTAAACTCTCTGCTAAACCATTTGAGTCTGCACTGATGATACCTGGAGACAACGAATCAACACAAGTTTTCATCCCAGTGCCATGGGCAAACAACAGGATTATGTGCCCACCCTCCCCAACCAAAGAGTTAACATCTATTGCACACTTGCTACATATGGGGACTGACTGAAAGATAGCAGAGCTCTGCATTTGGCTCGGAAGCTGGTGCCTGGAGGACAATGATACATATATATGAAAATATTAATACTTTATACTCTCCCAAAAAGCAATGACATGGTTTTATTCTGCCAACATGGAGAGGATTAAGGGTTTCTGCTTGAAGCCACTAACAACCTGAACAGGAGAATTACAGTAATTCCACTAAAACCACACCAAATCCAGAGGATTGGCTGATGGCACGTTGTTGCCCTTTCCACTTCTCTTGAAAAGGTAGCTGGCATAATCTATAAACAAGACTTCAACAAGCTATTCAAGGAGGTCCAACTCAAATGGTCTAATAGGAGCCACCTCCAGCAAAAGGGACATTTTTCATGAGACTTCTTAGCGTTCTGAGACCTAAATACTTGACATGGAACAATTCTATGGGCAGGTCAAAACCAGCAGTTAACTTGTGAAACACAGATGAGACTCATGCTTTCTTTTCTGTTGCTCACCCCAGTCCATTTTTAGTGCAAAGCATCTCACAGCAAACAATAGCAAGATATTCCATTAAAACCTTGCACTGCTTTAAGCCATTAGGTCACCACACAAACACTGCTGTCATAATGTTAATTAGCAACACTTTGCCTGGGTCAATACCATTATTAATACCTTGAAATACTAATCTCTATTGCTAATTAACAGTCAAATGTAGTGAATAATTATTCACGTATTAGGAAAAATTTACTGAATGCAATTACATGTCAAGAGCTGTGATTTACAAATTCTTCCCACAACACCACCTGTGCCAGAAAATATCCTTAAAAATTCGGCAACAGTTAAAGGCTTTCCATAACCAGGATACCTCTAGTTGTAATAAACTGATAGGCCCTGGCTCTGCAATACATGAGCCTGTCTACATGGCTTGTATCTCAATTACCATTTCCAGATGGAGCAGCCCCACTCAAAAGCTATAGTTATTATACAGAAATTTAACAAGTCTTCTGCAAGACCAACGTGAATACCAATCCTCGATTGAAAATTCAGATCCTCCCTAAAACTAAGCCTGCGAACACAAGGAGAGAAGCAGACACTTCTTTGTGTTTTGAAAACTGTAAATGTTATTCTGAACACAAAATGTTAATTATTTGAAGGAGATTACTGGCCTTCTGTTTGAACATAGTACAAAACCCAGTGAACATTCATTTGAGAAAGATTTCACTTCTGTGTTCATTAAGAGCCTTGATATTTAGGTATTTCAGAGACAAAATTGGAGAATCAAGATGACTGATCAGCAGTACTTACAGCAAATGTTATTTATATTGCGTGATGCTAAACCAACTCCGTTAAACCCATAGTTTAGCGACGATAGCTGTAATTCTGTGCACATACATACAGACTAAGTACCTGCATTTTCTCATGCAAACACACATACAAACTGGTGTGTACATTCCGGATTAAAAAACCAACAGTCAGCAAACAAAGAATATTAAATACTATACCTTTGAGTCATAATCTTATAGGCATCTGGCAGATAACAGCGGATATTCTCCATCTGAGCAGGATCAGAGTCACAGATTTTATCGTCAGTCCTCCCGTAGTTGGCACTTTCGATCATGATAACATCTGTTCCTGGGCAGCGCAGCTCTATGGGGTAACTCTCGCAGGACAGCTCCCTTCGGACCACAGCCATGGGGACCGGGGCTCGGCTGAAAGCTGCAAGGATTAACACACAGAAACACGGTAAACATTTACTTTCCAGGCTGAAGCTAAGATTAAAAGCGGAATGACGTTTAGCAGCAGGTTTTATCCATGTGCTATACTGAGATAGTTTCGGTACCATTGAGATACGGTCTGTAGAAACGGGGTCCAATCGCTGGCTTGCTGGCTCTCCAGAGAAATTACTTCTCCACTCAGTGACTTGATTTTCTCATCTCAAAAAACCCCTGAAGAGATCCCTTTTATACAGGGCTTTAGCAATCTCCTATTGAAAGAGGTAAATAGCAACTACAGCATGGTTATTATTTCTACTTACCAGGTGAAAAGCTAGTTGGTTTTGATATACAAAATTACAGCCCCGTGTTGTACTTGATCAGGCAAAGGAAATTTTATGACAACCAGCAATCCAAGCACCAGGATCCCACCTGCTCAGCAAGACTGCACCTGTCCTACAGCAGATGTAATAACATCTGTATTGCTCCTGGTCCTTTTCTTGGTCCTCAGAAAATGAGAGCCTGATGGCTTTTGCTGTAGCCTGCAGCATGCCGAGGGATGGCCTGCAGGTTCTGGCAATCTTCCCAAAGTTTGGGCCCTGCATTGATATCTTCCATGGAAAGGACAATTTATGGGACACCGGATGATTTAAGTCTTAGTTTTGTGTTGGATCTGCCTAGATAGTCAAATAGTTGGCAAATACTTGTGAAGTTAAAGAGCTCTCAGAAATCTTACCTGTTTTAAAAGAAATCCAGGCTACAGTTTGCAAAAGAAAAAAGAAACACACTTTGAGATGCCTTGAAAACAAAGCCCTAAAAGTATTAATAAACAAACTCACTAGACAACAAGCAATTGTATTTCTCATCTTTACAGCATCTTTGATCCAAAGATCTTAAACAGCTTGATGAACGTGAATATATTAATCCCCAAATATCCATATGAAGTAGCTATGCATTGTCTTTCTCATTTCAGTAGCAGAAGGGTTATGCAGCTTCCAAAAGATCTCATGGGAAATCCATGGTGAAGCTGGGAACCAAAAAAATTGTTTCCCAGCCTAGCACACCAGCCACAGACTGAAACAAAAGCCAACTCTTTTCCTTACTTATTCCACAAGAATGAAAACTCATCCACACCAAAAAGGCTCCCAGCTGCAGGGATGATGTGCCCTCCTACCCACACACTGTACTACCTCCAACACAAACCTCAACATACAAACCAAGCCTGTGTCTGTGTGTGATGGTCACAGAGCAATTAGTGAAGCTTTAACCCTCTAGTAGATCCATGGCCCATCTGACACCAAACATCTTTCACCGACTCACTTTTCCCCAGCCCCATTATAAAAACACCAAAATACCCTCCCCCCAAAACCAAAAATGCCATCCAGTGTTCTGCTGTCTTGTCCCAGATAACTTCCACGTGGTACGCGCATGCCAAGTTTGCTTGTGGAAAATAGGAGCATACTGATATTTCTCAGAACATCCCTTAACTATATCAAGGCTGTTTTATCTGTCTCGCAGGCAGCAACCCAACACACTAATTTCCATGAAGCCCTCTATTCTTCTCAGTTCTTTAATTTACGTATTACTGGACAGATAAACGTTCCCATTTCTGTAAATTTACAAGGATTACTCCAATATCAGATCCTTACTGATGCACCACAATTAAGGACTAATTGCCGAACTCCCAAGACAGACGTGTGCTTATTGTTGAATAACAGCTTCTACACTTGGCATAGTTCTAGGGCTTGGATCATGTAAGATGTCCTGGTTTCCCTGACACTGGAGAAATAGTTTTACCCTGGACTCGTATTGCACCATACACTTGTGTAATGCAGTAAATTCTTACTGCAACCAACTCCTCCTGTTACAGAAGGAGGGAAATGAGGAGGACAAGCACAAATCTTTGAGATGCAATACCTCAAACCTCTAAGATGCAATACTTCATTCTTACCCTTGGCTTTAAGTCACTAATCAACAACAAGGTAAGTGGAGGAAGGATGGGACAAAGTTAAGAGACAACTTTTGATCAAAGAGAGAAGCCAGCCAGAAAGGCAGAGTCAGCAGTGCCCAGCAATTTTAGCCAGCCCTACAAACAGTATCAAGAGGTATTAAGTCCATTTACAGGCATCTGTCCACAGAAGCCTGCAGCAGGCTCTGCTCTGTGATACACTATGGCAACAGGCCAGTGCTGACCAAAAAACTTCTGATGCCAGGCTTCTGATTTTGGAAAAGAGCTGTGGTGAGCTCTCTTTTCAAGCCCGTTCTGTACTAAACCTGAGCAGATTGGTGACATGGGAGGCAGAAGGCTTCTAGCAGCTTTTGGCAGAACGCTGAGGCCAAGGGCCCTCCCTCCTCCTGCCATGTGCTTAGATGACTCCTATTAACTGCCAAAGAAATGACAAAATGAGATTTACAGGCAATATCAGCTGTTGGGAGCTATGGTTTGGCCCAGCCCTGGGTCAATTTGGATCCTTTTCTCTGGAAAGTTAATGTATGCTATACAAAGGGCAAAGACAGTTGCTAATACTACTTTACTTTTTACAGTTACCACTGCAGAATACAAAACTCAAACTTCTGACCCACATAATTCAGAAAATATATTTTTGCTCTCAATTCCTATGTTGGTGGTTTTGGGGTTTTTTTTGTGTGTGTTTTGCTTGTTTGTTTGTTTTTCAGTAACTATTTTATATCATCAAAGAAAGCTATTAAATACATGATGGCTGAGGAAAACCCCACTTAAAATCACACTAATTAACTGCCTGAGAATTCGCTCACACAAACCTAGTGTATTTGTCAGAAAGCAATACTGTACATATGCAGCACACCTTAATGCTTGTGTTTTGTTGGAAATAAGACATTAGGAACTGCTACCAGCAAGCAACAAAGCTGTTAAACATCTTTCTGTGGTACAGTGAGAGCACACTTCTTGCATCTTGGGCATGTCTCCTGTACATGAGACTTTACAGCACTGATCTACTAAAATTGCATGTACGTCAGTTCCAAGTAACAGCCCCCCCGTCCCCCAAAAAATAATCTAAACCAAAACTGATCACCTCTTCCCCAAAATAACAGCTCTTGCTCTACTTTCCACGAAAGAATCTCTGGACAGGTGAAAACATTTCTAGATTCAGCTTTCAGTTTCCTGGAATTCACCTTTTTGCTTCTCACTTGTCTGCTTGCCATTAGAAGGACAGCTTTCACTTACAGACACCTCCCTATGGTATCAGAGTCAACATTTAAATTTATTTTCTGGATATAAAGCATAAATGCAATTTGACACCCTGGAAAAACTGTAGAAGTAGCTGAATACTGTCATACAACATGACCTCCTATTGTGCTTTCTCCTAAAACAATAGGCATGCGTTTTCCATCCTGACATTGTCCACCAAATCACTTGCTCTGGATGGCTTTTTCTTCTACCTTGATATCTGCAATAAATACTCCAAAGGGAGATTACATCCTGTCTGTTTATCTCCTTGTAAACACATTTCTTGATGTTTTGTCCCTATATGATAATCTTACTTAATAATTTTTACTGGTTTTCCTGTAAGGAGCAGTGATGTTTTGCTTTTTGCTATGAAACAAGATACATCAAAGCCCATTTGTGAAATACACAGCACGATTGTATTAATTCTTAATACACTTCTCTCTTCTTTGAGTAGCTCCCTATCTTTGCAGTCTCTCACTGAGCTCCTTATTTAATCTCCTAAATAAGTGACCTAATTGTTGGCTTGAAGTCAAGAGGAGTCGATGGTTGCTCACTACTTTGGAAAACAGGTATCTTTTTCCAGGATCCTATGTGCAGACAGCCATCTAAATACAGAACTTAAAAAGAGTGTTTTTCAAATTCTTTAACATTTAAATGTGTGCCAACTTGAGTTCTGTAAGTGCAGCCATTTGGTGGAAAATAATCCTCCTGAGCTTCTGCAGAGCAAAGTGAGAGCAGAGGGTGAAAAGGCAACAGATAATGACAGGATTTTATCTGGGCGATTTAGAACTTCTTTGTCTCTGCTAATTTCAGGAGCTGGAAAATTAAGTAAGTCATCAAAATCTTGTGCTTTTTCTCCCCCTCGCTTTTGACCTCAGAACATAATTGCCTCTTGTCATGCCTGCAGGGCATGGGCTTGTAGTTATCACTCTGTGCTTAATCAAATGCCAAAATAGCCTTTAAATTATGTGTCTTCTTGGCTGCTAGGGACTTGTTGAGCTCTGCTACATTTAGAGGCACGATGGTAGTAGATGTACTTTTAAAAGAGAAGTGTGGGTTGATGCTTTTAATTAGGTTTTATATGCATTTTTCCCAGCAAAATCATGTTCTGGCTCAGAATTTTCAGACTGAATTTTCAGTGCCTATTTAAGGGCAATGAAACAAAAGCTGGAAATGCAGAGATAATTATTTTCACAAGCTCTGTATATGATTTAGTCTGCCCAGCTAAATACCTGACTTCCTGTTTCCAGGCACAAACATAGCTTGCTAGGGGAAGAGGAATGCTTCTCTGTTTGTAATTTTGCAGGACTTAATATTCCCACAGTTCACCTTGACTCTGTGGAGGGTAAAAATATCAGAAAGTAATAATTAAAAAAAAAAAAAATCGAAAAACCAAAACAAAAACCAAAACAAACAAAAACAAAAAACCACACAAACAAACAAACAACCCCACTAACCTCCTAGTCCACTCAGGTGTGGGTGGGAGCAGAAACCTCTTTTAGTCAATGAGTCAATAGGCTTTGTAGGACTCTGTCACTCCATCATGAAAAGTACACACTTAAGTGCTTTTCTAAATCAGGGTCTTAACTTTTCTCTATTAAGGTATAAAGTCTCATTAGTGCATATTTACAGCATGCAAACATTGCTCAGTATTTCTTCTCTGTTCCCCCTCTTTCTTAATCCAAATTATACCTGGCCTCTGATCTCAAGACTAATATTAGTAGTAAACAAAAGCTCAGGTCAAAGACAGTGACAACAAACATTTCTCCAATGTACAATACTCTCATTCCCCAGTATTTTCATTGCTCACAAATGTTAATCTAGTTCTGACAAGCTTAAAAGAAAAGTTTGGTTCAAAGTTCTCTGAAATCTTAATATGGAAATACCATTCTCTTTCCCCCACTTTCTCTACAGATACTGACAACAAATACAAGAGCAAAGACCTCTGTCTTTTCTAGAGGGGTAGGGCAGAAAAGCCTTCCTTCTACTCTCAGCCTGCAGTGGGGTTAAAGGTCCATCCTACAGACAATGGCTGGTGCCAAGACATTGCAGCAAATGCTTGCAACATCCATATCCAGCTCCCCTGGGGAAGAAATGAAGACTCAATGCAGCCAGTGTGGCCAAACAGCTGAAGCCATCAGCAGTGCAAGGCTGAAGCTGGACAATCCTGGTCTCTACTCCTGTATCTCACCTCTGTGCCTTAGTTGATTGCTGTCTCATTTATAAAAATGGGAAAATTATCTTAACTCCTCCAATAAGCACTCTAATCTGCTACAAAAAGAAAGATGAGAACTAGATATATCCAGAGAAAGTGAAGAATCTGGCTTCCTCCTGGGTTTTCCCCCATGAATGAGATACCCACAACCTCCTAGACTATCTTTTCCCTTTCTTACTTTATAGAAGATATCAAAACCAATTTGCAACTTTCCTTTGGGCACCATCACCAGATGTAGCAATTCCCCTTACCCAGCAGACAGCCAGCTATGAACAGACTTCACAAACTGAAAGAGCAATTTCTTATATGGTGGGATGGTATACACAAAAAAAAA